GAAAACCAACCATGCTGTTCTGGTTTTCTGTCTTATAGAACTATTATGTGCCAATAAATGAGAAGTGTTCTTAAGTTTGTGGTCATTTGTTAAGGTAGCAGTAAAAAATTGGAGTGAAACAGTTAACTAAAGAAACTTCACCATTCACATTTCAAAGTCAACGAATTACTAATATCTCCTCTAGCAATGGAACATCACCCAGGTCTTTTTCCTCCCAGTTTCCTCTGGATTGTTACATCCATCTCTCCCTGTCTGCCCCCATACACCCCGCCCCCCACCCCACATACAACTTGCCTTCCTGGGGTCACAGCACAATCCCAGTCCACCATTACCAATTGTCTAGAAATGCCTGTCAATAATCATCCATGCCACTCATATTTTGTAAATAAGGAAACACTGATAGGATGTATGGCATATCTTGACAGTTTAATAAATCTGGTATAAAATGCCTGTAGGACTTAAATTTCTGGCTCATTATACATTGACCTAAAACCATCTGCATTCTCAGATATTAATTTAGAAAAGGCAAGGGGATCTGAGCTGTATTTTATTTCATTTTTATTGGTTTTATTTTAATATGAAGCCCAATTTCTGTCAAAAGAGTTTTTCTCATACCCAAGGTGTTTTTAGCTACTCAGGATAAGAGTGCTGAGGTCACATTGAATTCATTCTTCTCTTTGACTGCAACTTCTAACTGACCCCTCCACCCCACTATGAATTCAGTTAATTGCTAGTTCATTTGGATCCTACCTCCAAGCTGTCCCTGTATCCTATAAGAACTTTCCAGTCCCTAGAAGATGCTCTCCTATCTCCTTTCCCTGCTCCTGCAGTGGTGTGCTGGGTGTGGGTGAACTTCACTCTCTTACTTGTGAACTTCACTGCCTGATGAACCCAGTTTCCATTCCTCACTCATTCTAGGCTCACCAGGCCCTAATCAGCCCTAACTCCCACTCCATTCAAGGGCTTATCTCCTTCCTCAAGATGAACAAGTTTCTCCTGAAAATACCCACCTCCACTTCTTGCACTGTCCAGTTTTCAAGGCCCACCTTAAATGTCTCTTCTCTGTGAAATTTTTCTCTCTCTCCCCTCCCTTCACCTACCCCAGACACCATCTCTTCTTTCTTCGTATCCCTAAACTACCATCATTGACCCTAAACATCTGTTTGGATTGTTGAAAAGCTTGGGTTTTAAAATGAGATTTAAAGGCTATGGTTTTGGAGGTATTTTTTTGTATGTTCGTTTAATCATGCACTGTTTTGATTTATTAGAAGTGAGTTACACCAAAGCCAGGGTTTGGTTCCTATGTTTGGGGAGGGAGGAAGTGTCACTGGTATTTGTGATGTGGGAACTGTAATTACAGTTAATTTAGAGGCTTTCTGCTGACTGGGCTGATGTTCTGTGACTCAGATTTACTTAGATGCTACACTGTTTCCCATTCATAATCTTACTTTAAAATGTTAAATTATTTTACAGGAGTTTAGAAAAGTAGATGTATGTGGGGAGTAGGTAGAGGGAGTCAGGGGTGGAGGGGTCAAGATAGGATGTCAGGAAAGGAAAGAAAGAGATTGCCAAAGTAAAAAAAAAAAAAAAAAAAACTATATGTGATATGTCTGGACAACATCAAGAAAATGTGCAATATAAAATTATACCTATATAACTTTATGAAAAATTGTATGAACACATGAGCAATGACCCAAAGAAAATACAACTTAAAAGATCATAAGTGAGCATTCTGGAGTCATGCTATGTTGGCTTTTCACATGGCCAACACAGGTGTACCTTGGGTAGGTCTTAAGTCTCTACCAGTTTCAGTTTTCTCTTATGTAAGTGAGCATCAACTAAACAGCACCTCCCTTTATGATGTTGTGAGAGTGGCATGAGTTTCTACATAAAAAGCACCTAGAATTGGGTCTGACACCAAGGGACACCCCCTACCTGGGTACCTTGGGGTGGTGATAAAGGGTTCTTTGCTACCTGCAGAACATTTTTGTAGCTTCAATTTTCTTGCTGTCATTCTTCATCTTATCTGTCTCCTTTTCCCCTCTTTTTGATTTCCATATCACTGATTTCTGTCTTTCTATTCCTTGTACCTCAGTTTGTATTATTATTATTATTATTATTATTATTATTAGTAGTAGTAGTAGTAGTAGTAGTACTACCCGGGATTCAACCAGGGGTGCTTAACCACTGAGCCACATCCCCAGCTCTTTTTTATATTTTATTTAGAGCCAGGGTATTGCAGAGTTGCTTAGGGCCTTGCTAAGTTGTTGAGGCTGACTTTAAACTTGCCATCCTCCTGCCTTGGCCTCTTGAGCTGCTGGGATTACAGGTGTGTGCCACCACACCTGACCTCAGTGTGTATTTTTGAGTTGTATTATGGAGGATGCCAAAAAGTTTCTTGACATTTCATGCTAGATTTTGATAGAAATAATTTATAAAAAGTGTAATTTTTTAATATAATTTTTTATTTATATATGACAGCAGAATGCAATTCAATTCATATTACATAAATAGAGCACAATTTTTCTTTTTTTTAAAGAGAGAGTGAGAGAGGAGAGAGAGAGAGAGAGAGAGAGAGAGAGAGAGAGAGAGAGTTTTTTAAATATTTATTTTTTAGTTCTCGGCGGACACAACATCTTTGTTGGTATGTGGTGCTGAGGATCGAACCCGGGTCGCACGCATGCCAGGCGAGCGCGCTACCACTTAAGCCACATCCCCAGCCCTAGAGCACAATTTTTCATGTCCCTGATTGTACACAAAGTAGAATCACACCATTAGTGTTTTCATACATGTACTTAGGATCATGATGTCCATCTCATTCCACTGTCTTTTCTACCCCCATTCCATCTCCCTACTCTTCCCTCCTCTTTCCCCTATCTAAAGTTCATCTAAAGATCCTCCATTCCTTCCATGCTTGCCCCCCCATACTCATTATGAATCAGCATGTTTATATCAGAGAAAAAATTCTCCATTTGGTTTTTTGGGACTGGCTAACTTCACTTAGCATTATGTTCTCCAGCTCTATCCATTTACCTATGAATACCATGATTTTATACTCTTTTATTGCTGAGTAATATTCCATTGTGTATATATGCCACATCTTTTTAATCCATTCATATATTAAGGGCATCTAGGTTGGTTCTAAAGTTTAGCTGTTGTGAATTGTGCTGCTATAAACATTGATGTGTCCCTGTAGTATGCTATTTTTAAGTCCTTTGGGTATAGACCGAGGAGAGGTCTATAGCTGGGTCAAATGGTGCTTCCATTCCCAATTTTCCAAGAAATTTCCATACTGCTTTCCATATTGGCTGCACCAATTTGCAGTCCCACCAGCAATGTATGAGTGTACCTTTTTCCCCACATCATCATCAAAAAAGTGTAGTTTTTTCCTTTGAGTTATCTTTTTGCTTATTCTTCGTCTTATTCTGAAGTATTTTTATAGGTTATATGCCATTTGTTTATTTATTTTTCACTTACCCATCCTCAAAGAAAACAGTGAATCTCATGAATTTTCTTAGACAAAGAAGAAAATCAATATTTAAATAAAATAAATAGTTTAAATAGGATATCACAAAAAATGAATTAATTTTAAGTCATTTTGTATGACCTTTAATCATAAATATAAATATGCACTTATCTTTAATTTAGACTGTAAGCTCTTTCTGAGTTCTGCTAATTGCAGTGTCTGTTGTCATCTGAGAGCAATCCTGCCCATATCTAAGATTTCTAGCTTCATGTCCTTCAAATGAAATGGGAGTTAAAGAGACTCATGAAACAAATTGAATGTATAGTCTCCTTAAATTTTTATACTTGTTTTCTATGGTTTCACAGTTGTCATGTATTTTGAAACAGTTCTTTTAGCAACTTTCCAAAGCATTGAATTTGGGTAGAAATAACAACTTAATTGTTGTGTGTTCATATCCTCTTGGTTTATGTCACATTTAATTACGTAATAGTAATAATGAGTACAAAGTGTCAGAGTGGGGCTGGGAATAACCATACTGAATTCTGTGAGCATCCATTCAACCAGCAATGAAAGTGAGCAGAGGGTCCCAAAGAGGATGCCTGTGAGTCATGAAGGTTCTGATGTGTGGGCACTGGGTAGTAAGGGTTGCAGAGAGGATGGCAACCATCCCTGAACCCACAGAGACCACCAGATGGAAATCAGTTAAGGAACTTCCACAAGCAGTGGTTTTCTTACTTTGGTGTGTATCAGAATTATCTGGATGGTTTACTAACACACAGATGACTGGACCACAACTTAGAGTTTCTGGGCCATCTCACTGATTCCTGTCTACTACCTGGGATTCAAGCAGGGGTGCTTAACCACTGAGCCACATCCCCACATGGGGTTGGGTGGAGCCAAAGAATTTGCTTACATTTCTAACRAGCTTCAGGTGATGCTGCTGCTGCTGCTGGTCCAAGGAACACATTTGGCAAACCATTGAATTACACCAACCTGGACAGTGTGTATGGTGATACCATACACAGGACAGAAAGTCAGGTGTTATTTCTCCACTTGTCTTTACCCACCTTGTGGTGGATATTCACCCAGTGATCAGACACTAGGTTTTCTATTCCTCTTAGCACTTGATGTTCTGTTGAAACCTTGTGTGTGTGTGTGTGTGTGTGTGTGTGTGTGTGTGTGTGTGTGAGTGTTTGTAAGAGAGACAGAGAAACCTAGTTACATTATTTGGAAATGGTTGGAGAATGCAATGATGAGGGCTTTTAAAGATTTTGTGTTCACTGTTTTTCAGCTTTCTTGAAAAAAAGAGAAAAGTACCAGTTCTTTCAAAACTGTGCCTGCTCTTTTTAAGTCACAAGTCCTGCTGTCTCTTCACAGGGGGGAACAAAACACCCTCACTTCTGCATGTCAGAAAGCTTGGCAGGAGCTTACAGCTGTGGGTGGGAAGGCGGCCTTGTGGTCTGTCGTCAGCACGCTGAAGACTTTCTCTGAGAATGAGACAGATTATCTGATTGCTCTGTAATCTCCCTTTCAGAACTGGCTGACGGAGCTGGAGATCTTTGCTATAATCTTCTCAGCTGCCATCCACGACTATGAACACACCGGAACTACCAACAATTTCCATATCCAGACTCGGTGAGGATGCTGACCTGTTGGAGAAGAGGCGGGATCGGGCAGGGGTAGAGTTTTAGAAGTCAGAGAGGTATTTGTCACCTGTCTTTTACATGGTTACTCTATTTTGAGTTTCTGAAAAAAATGAGCATATACACAAAAAATTGGCCTGGTCAGCGTCAATCGAGACCTAGGGTATAAGAAGCCATCTGCTCTTAATTCTTGTATTTGATTCAGATCTAGCAAGCAAACATTCTCTATTTTAATTGTTCTTTATTTAAAATGTCCTAGGCCTGCTCTACCTATTTCTGATAGGTGGTAGGGTAGTAGCACAGAGGCCCAGAAGCCATGCAGACTAAAACAGGGACAGGTGATGATTGGACTATTTCTGTTGACATCAACAGTAATTGAGCCTTCTTGACCTCTGATCTCTGGGGTTCTGGTGAGTTGCTCTGCTCATTTTCTCTGATTTAATTTCTGTTCAGTGCCTGCACTGTTGTTTGGCACAGGGCTTGGGAAGCTGGGTTGTCTCATGCCAGCCACCTTCACCATGAGCAACCTGTGCATCCTTCCTGATGAACAGCACAGGTAAACACGAACCTCCACTGAGAATAGTACCTGCGGGTCCAAGTGGCCCATTCTGAACCTCCTGATCTTTAACAGACATCAATGATTGATTTCAGGATGAAGGATTTTGACTTTGCTATGCTTTCTCCCCAAGCTGTGGATCTATCCAGTCCTTTCCTCCTCTGTAAACCTAAAACCTTGCCTTATCTCAGGACACTGTGATGTGGAATTGAACAGAATCTGACAGTAAGGTTAATTGGGCTTTGGTATAAGAACCAAAGAAAGCTTGGATTTGGGGAAAGGTGGTAAGACAAAGAGAAAAATCATGGGGGCAGGGGTTGGATAGTTGAATACTAAGTAAATACTTGCTGATTTCACTTGAAAAAGCAGGTGTGTACTCCAGATAGGTTTGTGTTCATTGAATCAATCCATATGTATTTAATGAACTCAATGCTAGATTGTGAGGTGCACATACAAATGACAACATCATCTGGTCTGTTAGGAGGGGCATTCCAGCACAGAGGGAGTAGACAGGAGGGCGGAAGCTCTTTGCTTTAGTTCCTGCTCCTGCCTTCCTGCATGGTGATCTCAGCCACAAGGAGGCAGCCCTTTGTAGTTCTTTTCTAAGGTACTTAGATGGAGGGAACTCCACAGAGCAGCTCTGCTCAATGTGGGTCTGTAGGTGGAATCTTTGCTCTGAGGACAGAGACTGCAGTGAAGGGCACCTGCTGCAGGAAGGGGGGGAGGTGGTTGGAGTGACTGTGGATTTTGCCTGGAGACCAGAACTAACGGTCACAACTCAAGAAAGCAGCTTCATTACAGGAGGTGAAAAGTAGCTTCCTGCCACGAAATACACACCCACTGGTACTTAACTTACTCAGCAGATCTAAGAGGTCATCTTTCACCAAGGCATTTGTGTGTTTTGTATTATCTCCTTTGGGAAATTCCAGTGGGTCCCATTAGGCTCCATTTAAAATAAAATTCAAACACTGGTCTTCTTGGACAGAGCTTTATTCAGTGTGTCTGAATCAATGTGATCCTTCTGCAGAAAACTAAGTCTGTGACTTAGTTTGTCCCTCGATGGACAACATGTTAAGCCTAACACTTCTGAGGTATGCTAGTGACATCCCAAAGTTTGGCCAGTGGCAGGTGAAAGCTATCTTGGGAGCACTGGCCCTTCTGTCAGAAGTCCTCACCTCCGTCCCAGCCCTGACACTCAGCCACCATGGGGCCCTCAGAAGCCACTTTACATCTCTGCGCTCAGCTTCCTTGTTGAGAAATGAGTGAGCTTTAAAAATCCAAGCCTTCATTCAATTAAAATAAATAAATTCAATTAAAATAATATACAGCTCTGTTTGGTGACATTCAGTTAAAAAATGGTCTTAGAGAAAGTGACAGCTGTCATATAATTTTGGTTTTTCCTTTCTCCTTCCTTCCTTCCTTCCTTCCTTCCTTCCTTCCTTCCTTCCTTCCTTCCTTCCTTCCTTCCTTCCTTCCTTCCTTCCTACTAGAGATTGAGTCTAGGGACACTTTGCCACTAAATTGTGTATTGTCCTACTTTTTATTTTATTTTAAGTTGCTTAGGGCCCCACTAGGTTCCCGAGGCTAGCCTTGAATTTGCAATTCTCCTGCAAACTCCAGGGTCACTGGGATTACAGGCATGGGTCACCATGCCCAGCTCTATTCTCTACTCTCAATTATCAACATGTGGCTTTTGCATGAAAAAATTTTTAAGATCAAGAGGCAACTTGCAGACCATACCCAGCAGGGGATATGTGTTCAGAGACTCACAACTAAAATAAATAAGTTGGTACATTCATTGAATTAAGTAAAAATTTTAACTTAAAAGTTATTCCAGAAAATATAAGAAAGTTTGACATAATCCACATTTTAAAAAACTACCTTTGCCACTACTTCAGGTCATTGAGATCTGGTTATATAGCTTCCAGAGAATTCCTGAGCTGGATGACACAGAATTCAAACCCAGATATTGATATTGAGGGAGCCTACATGCATCTGTTGATAATTTATAGTGTTCCTTTGAGGTTCTGATTTATGCAGATAGCATGAGGGTGGAGATGGTTCTGAAACCTAGAAGAAGTGCATGTGTACTCCATCCTGTGGGCATTCCCTGCAGGGATTCCGGGGGGAATGTCCTGAAAAGTCCTGTGTGGCTCTGTGCAGGTCTGATCCAGCGATTCTATACAACGACAGATCTGTATTGGAAAATCACCATTTGAGTGCAGCCTATCGCCTTCTGCAAGAGGATGAGGAGATGAATATCTTGATCAACCTCTCAAAGGATGACTGGAGGTAAGGATGAGATGTGAGAGATCTGGAGCCAGAGAAGGAACTGGGCAGACAGATGAAGTGTACTGCTTTTGAAGAAAGGGCATCCCATTTCAATTTAATTGTTGTAGCTCTCACTTCTGTTTGCAGGTACATCTCTCTTATGTCTAATTTTTTTTCTTGTCAAAAAATGTTGAAGTGTTTGTAAATAGAGGCTATAGACCATGATGCTTTGATCCCATCTGTTTAGTTTTTCCATCTTTACAATGTGTTTCTAATAATGGGTTGGAAAATGGAAGGATTTGGGGTCAAATAATTCAGTGTTGAGCTAAAACTTCTTGAGGAGGAAAACTGGAAAATCCTCTTCTAACAGTATCCAGTTGAGGGTATTTTGCAAAGATTTCTTGTTTGTTAACTTAGAAAACTTGTGTTGCTTTTAGATAAGCTTCTTAATTCTGAACTTTATCAGTTAGTGTTTGTGAAAAACACCTTATGTATTTGATTTGGACTCTTAGCGATCTTCTAAAATTTTCTAAGGAAATTATTTTACACTTAAAAAAATCCTGAGTACTTATTTCTGTCTCCTAAATGACAGTGTGTGATTTTGGATTTAGGCACTCCTGGGTTTGAATATGGATTGAATCACATAATACATGTCTGACATTGAGGAAGTTAATCTCTTCCAGAAAATAGATAATAACATTTACTCTACAATGTGGTTAGGATTAGAATAAATGATATCATCCATTTAAAAGGCTTTGCACACGTTGTAGAAGATATATAACAAACCCACAACTCATTGTAGCTATAAATACGGATCAAGGCATTTTTAAACTTAGAGACAAAATTTCTCCATCCTTTCAAGGTTCACTGTGACAGAGAAGAGCTTCGCACAGATTTAGAGGCATCGGAGTTTTAAAGTATTGCATGAGGGCCTGTTTAGGTAGTAGATATTCCCGGCCAAGTGACAATCTAACAAGTTGCCCCAAAGCTTGCACAATTTGCATTATTGCCTCTAACATACTTTTAAAACATAGCTATGCCACTTTTTTCATCTTTATTTTTGTTTTGGATTTTCTATCTCTCTTTAGCTATAGTTCTCCAAAATTTAGCTGCATTATTTGTGTTTCCATTCCACTGTAACTATGAGCTTCATTCACTCATTCAGCGAGTCTGGTGTAGACACTGCTTCACCCAGCATAACCCAGAATGCATCAGTTCACACCAGGCACATTGCTGCACACCAACCCAATCATCCTTGCTTATCTCTGCATTCTTATTGGTGGATATTTGCGAAGTACCAGTTATGAATAACCTGATATTTACTCTAAACAAAGAAAGTTATAAAATCATGTGAATACATAGGTAGAATTAGTGTAAAATATGAACAGACTTGTCTCTTGAAAATACAGTTGATTGGAATCTATTTATATGCTTGCCTTCCATACCTGTGTTTCTTATTCAATGCTATGTTGTCTCATAGAGTGAATTTAAGTATTATCTCAAGGAAGGACTGATATCATGGAATGTCTCAGTTACTGGTGGAAACTTCTGATAGTTATAAACTGTTGTACCATGTTTTATTTCTACACCTGTTTCTTGGGATTTACATAATACAAAAATTACAGCTTATGACTTTAAATTACATGATTAAGTATTCTATCTTCATTTAAGGACAGCTTGAAATATTATTTTGTTATTTTATCATATTTTATTAGTTTTTAGATACAGTGTGGTATTATCTCATAAATTAAATACTAATTTAATAATTAGAGCTCTCAGCTAATCACATTGACCCAAAGACAACATATTTTAGCTTTCTATGTCTTTCTCAGAAAGAAATTTTAATAGTTGGTAGGTTCTATCAGACTTTTTAGAACCTTTACAAGCAAATGTATTACCAGATATTTATTTCATTTCAAATTGGAATAACATGGAATTCTACTTTTGGCAGGCCAAATAAGCTGTTAATGAACTGATATGCATGCAAATAACAGCTAGAAACCCTGAAAAAAAAGTTTTTATATGACTTCATGACTTGAGGGATTTAGGGAGAACAAAATCAGGCAACTTTTGAATGGATGTCAAAATTTGGAGAATGTGACAAGACAAGGTAAATTTGCTCTTTTTGTGACTTTGTAGGAAATCTCGAGTGAAGGTAACACCTTGATATCATACACACACACACACACACACACATACACACACAAACACACACACATATAACTACATTCCATCTATAAGAGATATGCTTCAGATATAAAGATACAAATAAGATGAAAGCAATGATATAAATATACCAACAGTAAGTATAAGAAGATAGAGTGGTGATATTAATATCAGGTAAAATGAACTGTAAGAAAAGGAGTATTGCCAAGGAAAGAGAAAGTTTTCTGACAATGAAAGAGTTAATTCATCATGAATAACGGATCAATCATAATAAATATAACATAACTACAGATCTCCAAAATATAAAATATAAACATTAGTAGGAGAGACAAGAGAAACATGTATTTCTATAATCTTTGGTCACTATGGATGTAAATTAGAAATCATTAAAAGTATCTGGGAAAATCTCACATAGTTGAAAATTAAACAATACACTTCTAAATAATTCATGGGTCCAAAAAGTAATCACAGGGAAAATTAGAAAATATTTCAAATTTAATGAGAATGAAAATGGCAGCATATTAAAAATTTGTGGAATCCCATTAAGGCAGTGCTTAGAGGAAATTTATAGCTTTAAATGCTCATTTTAGGAAAGGAGAAAGATCTGATCAAAATGACTTAAAGGAAATAGAAAAAGAAAAGTAAATGCAAAGTAGATAGAAGAAAGGGAATTAGCAATGATAAGTGAAGAAATAAGAAAAAACAGAAAACAAATAATGGCAAAAATTAAAGTTAAATGCTAATACTTTGAAAACAGCAAAAACAATTTGATGTCTCTGATCATACTGAACAATACCAAAGATAGAGAACATACATTACCCATCAGATTCTATAGACACCAAATACATAAGAAAATATTACAGTTTGATCTCTTTGATAATCTTGATGAAATAGACAAATTCCATTAAAAAGAAGAAACATAAAATCTGAATATTCCTATATCTCTTAAGATAATTGAATTTGTCATTTAAAAAAAAACCTTCCCACAAAGAAATCTCATCCTTGGATGGTTTCACTGGCAATTCCATTAAATGCACAAAGAAGAAATAACCGCAACTTGTTAGTCAGCTTTATGTTTTGTCATGTGACCAGACTACCCAACTTAAACTTAGAGGAGGAAAAGTTTTCCTGGGCTCATGAGATGAGGCAGAACATCGTGGTGGAGGGCATGGTGGAGGGAAGCTGCTCAGCTCATAGTAGTGGGGAAGCAGAGAGAGAGAGGGGGTGGGGAAAGGATGAGGTTGAAGAGAAGATAAACCCTTCCAGGGCACGTACCCACTGACCTAATTCCTCCAACTATGTCCCACCTCCCTGTAGTCCATTCAGCTCTCCATGGATGAATACATCAAATGAACTACCATGAGGTCATAGCCCTCATGATTCAACCATTGACCTAAAGCTCCACTACTGAACCTTACTGAATTGGGGACCATGGGTTCAGTAATGGGCTTTTGGGTGGACATTCCACATATCATGACATCAACCTTACACCGATTTACTTAGAAAACAAAGAAGGAAAAAATATTCTCCTTGTGTTTTATGAGGTTTAATTTTGACACCATACCTATACCCTGCCCAAAACATCATTACTTTAATATTAAAGACCAATATATCTTGTAAACATAGGTAACAACAATCTTTATTAAACAATAATGAAATTAATATAATTATATATATATATATATAAAAAATGATAATGCATCAGTGTGTGATGACTAATTTTATGTCAATATGACTGGATTACTGTGTGCTGGATATTGGATCAAACATGATTTGGAATGTTTCTGTGTGTGTGTTTTTAAATGTGATTAATGTGAGAAAGAGTAGACTCAGATTGCCCTTCCTAATATGGGTGGACTTCATTCAATTATTGAGGGCTAGAAAAGATAACAAGGCTGACCCTCCTTGAGTAAAATAGAATCCTTCCTGCCTATCTTTAAACTGAGACACCAGTACACATCCATTAGAATAATGGAAATTAGAGACTGACAGAAGTAGTCAAAGAAAAGCTGGAACTTTCTTTCACTGGTGGTCAATATGCAAAGTGATACAACTATTTTGAAAAATGTTTGACAGTTTCTCATAATAGGAAAAAAATGGCTACCTAAAACAACAACCATTGTACTTCTAGGTACTGACCCCAAAGAAATGAAAACATATGTTCACACCAATAACTTGTCTGTGAATACTTGTACCATCCTTATTTCCAATAGCCCTCAACAAAAATCTAATTACCCAAATTGCCCATCCATTGGGAAATAGAACTTCTCACTTGTGGAATAACCTGGAATATCCACTCAGCAATAAATGGGAAGGAACTGTTGATGAACCACTGCACGGATGAATGGCAAACTATTGTGCTGAGGAAAGGAAGCCCAAAACAAAAGAGTACATTTTTGTGTGTGTGTGAGTGTGTGTGTGTGTGTGTGTGTGTGTGTGTTATGTGTATAAAATGGTTAGTGCTCACTGAGTTATGCAATTTATACAGAAGCAGTTTATTCTATGTAAATTATAACTCAACGAAGTTGTTAGAGACAGTAAAATGATGAGTATTTTACTGGGGTTCAGAAGAAGGAAGAAGGAGGAACTAGGGGGAGCATGAGAAAATTTAGAATGCTGAAATTATTCTGTATGATACTGTAATGATGAACACATAACCTTACGTATATGTTGAAAACTGTAGAACTGGGCAATGTGGTGGATGAACCCTCGTGTATGTACTTTAGATAATATGTCAGTATTGGTTCTCAGTTGTAATAAATGCACCACACTAATGAAAGATGTTAATACTAAGGGAAACTGTGCAGGGAAGAGGAGGTATATGGAACTCTCTATCCTAGCTGCTCAATTTATCTGTGAACCTGAAACTACTCTAAAAACTAAAGTCTATTGAAAAAAAAAGGTAGAATCCCTTTACCTGAAATATAATATGGATTATCAATCTAGCTCCTAGAATCATTTTCAAGTTAATTCATCCTCAAAACTTTGAATTGAGTTGAGAAATGAGCACTTTAATATAATTTTCAGCTTCATTGGGTTTTCCTGTGAGTTACTTTTCCAAATGATGTGTGTATTTCATGAATCATATTCCTAATAAATGATTTCCTTAATCTTTAACCTTCATTTATTCCTCATAAAAACCCACTGAAAAGAATCTAATTAGATTAGAAATGTCACAAATGATTAATTGATTTTGATTAGAAGTGCCAAAAAATAAACTAATTTTTCTTTTCCACTTTTTTTTTCTTTTACTTCTATCCTTTTTTCTCTGTGGGTGCCCCTGAAAGGGAGTTTCGAACCTTGGTCATTGAGATGGTGATGGCCACGGATATGTCTTGCCATTTCCAGCAAATCAAAGCAATGAAAACAGCTCTGCAGCAGCCAGAAGCGTAAGTGGGCTGGTGACATAGTGTTTTCCTAGGTGTTTTTACTGAGGCTTCCTTGTCCCTGTTGTACTGTAAAAGCACATTTCCTTCACATAACCTTGTTGGGTGCTCTCATAAAGTGGGGGTGTTTGGAGGAGAGTGCATGAATATTATACATATCTCACAATTAGGCATATTCTTATCAGAGTTGAAACAAACCATAGGGCCAGCAACCGTTTGCCCCTTAAAATTTAAAATAGTCCCTTGTGAGCAATTAAATGATCAAAGATCCACTTAAGGCAGAGACAGGAAGTAAAAGCCTGTGATTCTTGGATCCTTGTCTTCTTGAATGATACAGCCCATGAATGGGATTGAGTCAGAAGCATCCAGTTCAATAAACAGGGAGACCAAGGTGATGTGTACCCCGTCACTGGGCGAGATAATGCCCCTTTCCTTCATTTAGCTAAGTTTGCATTTGAGATGGGGGAATGGAAGGGATTTAAACTCTCAGTGATTTTTAAAATCCTTCTGAGGATAGATGTGTGCTCGTTGAGAGTGGCCACTTTGCTTTTCAGAATCGAGAAGCCCAAAGCCTTATCCCTGATGCTGCACACAGCAGACATTAGCCATCCTGCAAAAGCGTGGGACCTGCACCACCGCTGGACCATGTCACTGCTGGAGGAGTTCTTCAGACAGGTACCTTGTTGCTGTGCTGGTCATCAGGGCTGTCATCCCTGGGTATTTTAGGAAATTCATGTTTGAGACCACTGTGATTAGGACTCTTGACATTAGTTATTTTCTTCAGGTGGAGTGGTGGGTTTCACAGCTTTGATCCCTCCTTCCTGGATATATCATGTTTGAATCTTAACCAAATTCTGATTCTCAGGACATTATAAAATGTATCTCTATCTTATACATTTCTGTTTAGAAGAAAAAGCATTTTCTATGTCATTTGAGGACCCCTCCTCTTTATTTTCTAATGGATTGAAAAAATGGTACTTATTTTGGCATTGACCTATGGGATTAAGTTGTTAATCTTTAACTCATGTCTCTGTTATAATTGGTGGGGTGGAAACATCCAGGGTATTAAATTCCAAAACCAAGTGTGGCAAATCAGGGTAAGGAAATCATTAGACACTGTTTTTCCAATTATATTTAAACTTAACCACATCTTAAGATCCAGAGTTGTGTTATCTACAAGAATAGACAGAGTCTTTAATGAGTATACATTGCTTTCAAACAAATTTAAAAATACATATTTAGAACAGAGAAATAGGAAGGAAAATCATGCACATTACCAAGACCAAAGTCTTTTCAGTTTCAGGCATGCATASCTAACCTGGTCTCCAAAAGAATTATGTTCAGACATCTGCTGAAGATATTATGGCCTAAGGTTGAAAATGTAACATGTCAATGGTGTGACCTAAGTTACAGTTAATTCAAGTTAATAAAGTTAATTCAATTAATTTTTCTTAATTGAAGAAGGGAGGTATAGGACATGGATTTGGAGGTATCTAAAATTCCATAAAATACTACTTATTAGCACCAGTCTTACCTTTGTCCTTTAAAACTGATAAGGGATAGGCTCTTTAGCTATGTCTTAGTCCATTTTCTGTTACAATAACAAAGGCCTGAGACTGGGTAATTTATAATGAACAGCTATTTATTTAGATTATGGTTCTGAAAGTCGGAAGTCCAAGACCATGGTGTGCATCTGGTCAGAGCCTTCCTGCTTCATCATAACATGATGGAAGGCACCACGGAACAAATCTGTGAGCTCAGGTCTTTCTCTTCTTACAAAGCCACTAATACTGTATGCCACTAGTACTGTATGGGGGGACCACTCTGATGACTTTATCTAATCCTAATTACCTCCCAAGTCTTCATTTTCAAATACTAGTAATATGTGACTTTAGGGATTAAGTTTTCAATATATGAAAATTTGAGGGGGACACATCCAAACCATAGCACACTGATTACAAAAGATTTTTGGAGCAAATTACTCTTGTGCTTTTTCATAATCTTATGATTCTCATTTGAGGGGAGAAATTGTAGAATGTATTTCTGTGTATTTTGTTCCTTCTGAAGCTGTAAATTTTAGTGATAAAGTGGGACTAGTGTCAACAGCATATACAAGTCAGAAAGCCTTTTTTTTTTTTTTTTGTACAGTAGATTGAATCTGGAGGTGCTTAACCATTGAGCTACATACCCAGGCCTTTTTTATATTTTATTTTGAGATATGGTCTCGCTAATTTGCTTTAGGGCCTCACTTAATTGCTGAGGCTGCCTTTGAATTTGCCATCCTCATGCCTCAGCCTTCTGAGTCACTGGGATTACAGGTGTGCACCACCGCACCCGGCATCACAAAACCTTTTATTGAAGTTTTTATTCCAATGAATTTGAGGCCTGGGAATAATTAAGTCACCCCTCTAATTCCTTATGGTCTTGCAGTTTGTTTGTTGAGGGGGATAAGGGGTTCTGGGTAAATTTGGACCATTTTTCTAAGAGCCTTCCAACCTTAAGCGCTCAGTTTCTTTCACTCTGTCCCTGGGGGCTCGTCCACCACATGTGCGCACTCATGTGAACCCACAAGCTGTTATATGGATACACCAGCAAGTGCCTTCTTCTGAATAGGGTCATTTCCCATTGCAAAGTCAATGCCTGGTCTCCCAGGGTAGTTCTCAAAGGGAATTTAAGGGTGAGTATGCAGAGAGGGGAGCTAGAACTTTCCAGGTGTGGCCCACTTGTGTATAAAAGCAGGACAGCAAATCCATCCTTCATCTAAGGCTTATTTTGAGCCATTTTTTATTTTGGGCTATTTTTTCTAATAGCAGTGACAGAACTTTCTCCAAATACCCACTCCCCTGGCCATATGCTTACTTCCATATGACTTTTGTAATAAAACTCCCATTCAGTCCTTGACCTTAACTAATCATTTAAGTTTGATGGATCAAAGTGATTTCCTCTTTTCAATTATGAGTGAATGACTTAAATATGTGAACATTTTCTTCCTATAAAGGAAACCTTGTTTCCATACATATACACATAAACTCAAGTTGAATAAAAATATGTTAGAGGCAATGCAAAACTAACCATATTGAACTCTTTTGCCTGTTGGGAATCTAATGTTAGCTCACTGGATTGGAACTATGTTTAGTAATTATAAGTCAGTAAATTATTTTTATTGGCTTAATATTTTAACTTAGATGCCATAAGCCATAGCAAGTAACCCATGTAGGAGAAATGTTGCCTCAGCTCTTAACAATAGATTTTAAATTGGACAGTTCAAATGGGAAATCTCAATGGGACTGTAGAGTCTTTTTAAAAAGTAGGGTTATATTTCAAAATAAGGGCATAGCCTCAGTGCACATGGACCAGACCTTACATACTTTATTAAAGAGGGCATTACATCTTCAGTTTTATATCCATAATTTATGAAATCCAAGCCATCGCTTCAGGATGCTTTTCGATGAAATATTGACTTTTTTAAAAAGTATGTTTACCTCCTGGCAAATACATCTTGTAAAAGCTTGAGGTTCATTTCCTTTGTATTGCTGTATATTTTTATATTTCACAAACCTCTCTTTCAATTCTTAATTCCTTCTGTGTCTGTGATTGTTAGGTTTTCCCCCTTCTTTCTCTACAAAATTACATAATTGCCTTATTGTTTCCTTTTTATTTAATAATGCTGTAATCACTGTTTCATTTTTATTAATTCATTCCTTCTGCTTGAATCTGTTTTGTTCTTTTTCTAATTCTGAATTGGATGCTCAATTCATTTACTTTCATTATTGCTTGTTTAGAAAACATGAAACTAGGAGTTTTTCTTTTTTTTATTATCAGGAATTTCATAGGTCCTGATATGCAGCATGTTCACTATTGTTCTTTCCTAAATATTCTGTAATTTGGATTTTGATCTCTTCTAGCCAGCAGTTGCTTCAGATAAAGTTTTGTTTCCTTGTTTATAATTCTTTAGTGGTATGTTTCTTTGTTTAAGAACTTTGTAATTAATTTTTGTTTATCGAATTTTGATGAAAGGATTTTCCATTATTTAGATCTTATTTTGAAATTTGTACATCACCTGCTATATAGTCAACTTTTGCAAGTATTCATAGATCATCAGAGGTAGATTTATTTCCTATTTGCAGGGTAATGTTAAAGGAAAACCAGGCATCTATCCACCTTCATAATTATGATATTTAGGTATTTTATATATCATTTTTAAAAATTTGAGCTGACAGGTGTTTCTATGATTTTCTCTATGCACTGTAATTTTTGCTTCACAAAATTTGATTTTTTGGGGAGAGGAGTACCAGAGAGTGAACTCAGGGACACTCTTGAGCCACATCCCCAGTCCTATTTTTTTTTTTTTAAGAGACAGGGTCTCACTGTGTTGCTTAGCACCTCACTTTTGCTGAAGACTGGCTTAGAACTCTCGATCCTCCTGCCTCAGCCTTCTGAGCTGCTGGGATTACAGGCATGTGCCACCCCGCCTAGCTGCATGTTGATTCCATACCATTTAGTTTTTGGATATTTGTAACTGTTAGACCCTCATAGTTTATTATGCCCTGCATCAGTATAAATGCTCTTCCTAGAATTCAAATTTAACTCACATGAAGAATCTGATCTTGTCTTTGCACATTGTTTTTACTTTTAGTCTTTATAGACATTTTGATTTATACAAATCTTTATACAACTGAATTTCTTAAATAAGCCAATCAGATGTTTTCTGTTGTATAATTGAAGGTAGCCACATTATCATCTATTGAAATAACAGGAATGTTTGATCTTAATTACTATCACATTTTATATCATGCTTTCTGTTTTTATATGTTTTTCAAAAATAGTTCACTATATTTTCTGGGCCGACTACTTTGTTATATATTTGGTTTTTCTGATTATCTCAAAATTTTATGTTTTAGTTCTTCTAGTGGTTAACTTGCTAATGAAAACTAAATTCTCTATTTATTCAGATAGTATTTATTGTCTCCATTATAAAAATTAGTAAGTGTTGACCTCCCTTACTCCTTCTGCAATACCCACTTTATTTTTTTTATATATTTTTAAAAATTTTATTGGTGCATACACATTAAAGTGGGATTCGATGTTACGTATTTACACATGCACACAACATAACAATATAATCTGGTAAATTAATTTTTTATTTATATGTGACAGTGGAATGCATTACAGTTCTTATTACACATACAGAGCACAATTTTTTACATCTCTGGTTATGTACAAAGTATATTCACACCAATTCATGTCTTCATACATGTACCAATACCCACTTTAGATGGCTTTAATATCTTGCTTACTTCTTGTGTCCCTTGATTATTTAAGTAAAGCCCTTTTACTTTATATATCAGACATAAATGATATATTTTACCCTGTCTATAAAAGACAAGGCAGTGATTCATACTCTCATTACCTGATTCCTTTCCTTTCATAATGTAACTAATTCCTTGTTGCTGCTTGTTGGTTATATTATTTCCAAATTGTCCCAATATTTTAAGTGAGCATTCCCTTTTGTAGACTATATGGTATACACAAAGCACAGCCCCGCAAAATGTGACTGAGAAAGGTGGAAAAAAACCAAACTTGACAAGGCGTAATTCCCTGGTAGTTCTTGTCTTGGTGGTACTCAGTGTTGGCACTTTGCCCAAGGTGGTTCCTCAAGAAGTTCCTTCTAGAAA